GTCAGTAGTCACAAATCCTGAATACTGCCTTACATGAAACGTTATAATTTACACATGTAGCAGCAGCTGTAAGTATTGTATATTACATTACAAAATATCATAAACGACGAGAGTATCCAAATAATAAAAGGCCTGGCATGACCTGGTGGTTAGGGGTCGAATTCCTTCACCGAACATGTTCTCCATTTCAACGGTGGTGGCGTTATAATGTGTCGGTCAATCACACTATTCGTTGATAAAGAGTAGTCCAAGAGCTGGCGGTGGGTGAAGTTGACTAGCTACTTTCCCCTCTAGTCTATCACTTCAAAATTAGAGACAACAGACAAACCAAGCTAACTAATAAAACAATGCATTCTATTCACTATAAATAAGAACGTAACAAAAAATTTACTTAATTAGCAACACTCATTACCGATAAAAGGTTGAATTTCAGATTTGCTCTGAGCAGATAGCTTGCTCTGATAATAATAAAATCACGAAAGTGCATAACTGACATTTATAACATTTGTATTACTAGTAACAAGTCAAAAGTATTTATTTCTTATTTTTTTATAGAAAATCTATTAAATAGTAAGTAATACTGGAGGTACCAGTAGTTAAACGAAGTGTAATAAAGAGTAAATTATTACATCACTATGCGAAACGTAAAACTGAAACGATAGTCATTACTAGTGACAAGGCACTTAAAAGACGAAACTCGTACCCACACAATCAACCAAACAATTGTTTTAAAGAAGCGTAATTAATTAATTACTAATTAGCATTAAGCAAGTTGTGGAAACGTTTGAAGAACCAAATATAGGAGAACTCTTTTATTAAGAGGGTATTTTTTACTCCGTTTTATTAATTTAATTCAATAAACTATTTATTTTCAGTCAATATACAATCATTTGAACTTAATTACAAATTGCTACTTTGTATTCTGTTTTTCTGTTGGTAACGCTCACGATAAAGTAACTTTTCTTTAAACATATGCTGGTTTTTCCAGTTCTTGATTTAAAAACTACTGAATATTATCAGTTACTTTAGATAGTTATTACCTTTTAATTTATACCACAATCTCGTGAAAATGAAAAAACTACAACAGTTTAGGTTCGGAACTTTTCCAATCTTGTAAACGATGTCTCCCCTCCCCCCGTTATTTTTCTGAATAATAAATCTCTTTGACGTCAACTGAAACGACTATAGTTTTTTTATGTTAACGTTTCAGATTAGACGAACGAGGATGAAAAAAACTAAAAAACCCGTTACCTGGATGACAAGGCTTCCTATAGACAAATGATGGACGTTATTACAGTCGACGATGCTGATGATAACGTAGGCGATGGAACAGCTGTTATAAGACAGTTTTCTCAAGAAAACCTCACGTAGCTCGAAAAAATTCATAACCAACCAATAAAATCTTTGTTTTTAAGCAAGCGTGATCATATTCAGAAGAGGGAGAGATGAATACTGAGTAGCGACGTGGAAGATATGTCAAAAATTATGGAGCACGGTTTTTTTTCGGGTATCAAAGAAAAAAATATCTAAGCATAAATAGCGTTACATCCTTTGGCTGTAAAATTACAGCTTAATACATTTTCAATATAGCCCGTCAAAAAGTATAAAAAAGGCGATTAATTTAAAAGTGGTAGTTCGTTTTGTTTTCAATAGATGCCACTCAAATCTGTATGAACTTCTCGTAACTTCTCGTTTTTAAGGCCCAAATTCTGTTAGATAGAAAGGAGGTTTTATTATCATTGGTTCTATCAAAGCTAATTAACAAAAATTAGAAGAAAAAAGGGGCTCATATAATACCGATTCCCTAAAAAACAACCAAACAAGATATTATTGTGCCGTGAGGTTAGGCCTCCTCAACGTTGGTTATTCAGAAGTTTTCCTAGTTTTAAAATCATAAAAATATTTTAAACTTTCAATATCTTTGTTCACGTCGTACACAAGGTAAAAGGCTGAAACAACAACAACCAACTCTTTTACGATCGCTGCTATTAGGTGGTTAGTTAAGATATCAGTCCACGAAAGAAACGTGATAAGTTATTTTAGGCTTAACACCTGTCCGCTTGGCTAGAGAATTGTAGTTTATAATGCAGGCCAAAAGTTACATTATCACACGATAGAATTTTATGGTAACTGTTTCGTGTTTCTTTTAGACAAGAAAACGTCGTCATGCGACTGTGCAAAGATTTTAGGACCTTTTCTTTTTTTATCAAGTGGAGCGTTGTACATATAACACCTCCGAATGTTATATGATTTGTGTTAAATCAAAGACAAAAATTTCAGAAACCGGTAAGCACGTAAGCAAGCTGTTACTTGTTTGTTTGTTTTTGAATTTCGCGCAAAGCTACACGAGGGCTATCTGCGCTAGCCGT